ATCAATATAATTCACAAAGGTAAGGAATATCTAGTGTAGCAATCAATGCAGTTCATAATGATAAGGGATGTATATTGTGGTGACCAACACAATGTCCAATGGTAAGGACTATAAATCATAGCGATCAAATAAGTTCATAACAGTAAGGAATATGTACCATTGTGATCAAATACAGTGCACAACAATAAGGAATATAAACCACAGCAATCAATACAGTTCACAACGGTAAGGAATGTATACCATGGTGCCCAACACAGTGCCTAATGGTAAGAAATATAGACCATAGAAGTTCATAGAAATGAAGTTCAAATCACAACAGTAAGGAATATATACCATCACGATCAATACACTACAATGGTAAGAATCATAGTATGAAATACAATTGCAGATAATAATGAATATATACCAGTAGGGATAAATACATTTGTACAATAAGGAATTCACACCATACTGATGAACATACTTACAGAGAGGATGGAATATGTCATAGCAATTAATATGCTAGATGAACAATAAGAAATCAATGCAAGAGGTAAGATAAAGCTATAAAATTGTAAGAAATAAGTAGAATAACAATAATTAAGTTATAAAATGTTACAAAACCTATACAACAGTGATAAATACACTTGTACAATGGTCGAAAATATATTTCATTGAAAAAAGCTGAACATGCCATAGTAATGATTCTAGCAATAACAATAAATAAACAAATAAAAGTAAGGAACCTATACAAAAAGCTTATACAATGGTGCAATATCTATACAATGGAGATAAGTAAATGTATAATGATGAAAACCCTATACATTAGCTATAACTGAGCATCTACAATGATGAGTAATATGTATAATAACTAATAATTAAAGTTATACAACAGTAAAGAATCTCCACAGTAGCTGTATATGTAGACATATACAAATCAGAAGATATATAACAATGATAAAACAACATACAATGATACAAAATCTGTACAAATGAGTGAGTAACTATATGAAATTTCTGCCAGAAAATTTAGTAAAAATAAATGAAAGTTGACGAGAAATATATGCCTTAGAGATGTTATTTTCAGCACTGAGAAGCCTATACATAGACATAAGTATAATTCACAAATAAACATTTGCATTTGTAGAAAATCTATACAATTGTGATAAATAAACAATTTATTTATTGTGAAATCTTATAAAATGATAAATAAACAAATATAAAGATGAAAAATGTACAAAGGCGTGACTAATAAACAAAAAAGGTTTGAAATTAATGCAAAATCCTCATACATTAAAGTAGGACATTTATACAATAGTAAGTAATAAACATATATAGCATATAACAATTAGTAATCAAATGATGAGTTGATTGATTCATGATTTCAAAAAGTGTACTTTTTGGAAGAAGGGATTAACTGAGAAACAACAGGAAAAAGTGACAGTCAGAACTAATATAATAACATAAGTAATCAAAACAGGGTAAGGGAAGTAAAGCTAGTTGAGGGATATAAGTTTATAATATTTTTTTTTCTAAAATGGAGTAACCTAAAGGGTTTAAGGAAAGTTATGGCAGTAGAAGTTCAAGGCTTTTGTGAAGATTTATAGCAGTAAAAGTAGAGGTAGTAGAAGTCACAGATGTGATATGCTCCTACTGCACTATGAGGCAAATCATGGAAGCTTCAGTCATCCATGCATGAACTTTGTCCAGCAAAGGCTACTGGCTAGCCACATTTTGGAGCTGGAGCTCTAGGTGAATTCACTGGAGAGCATCCATGACGCTGGGCATACTGTGGATAGCACTTTCAATGAGTTGATCACACCACAGGTGAAGATGGAACAGGCAGAAGGGACATGGGTGACCACCAATCAGAGTAGAGAAGGGAGGTCATGCAGGGGCCCTCTGTGGTCATCCCTCTTTTGAACAGACATACCATTTTGCATAATGTTGGAGGAGTTGGTGGTGGTT